TATTGAGTTCTTAATATTATAGTTTTTATGTTAAAATTTGATTGAAGTTGTTGATTGTTAATTTAAATGAATATTATGTAATATATGTATCAGATTTAGAACAATAAGTCTATTTTGGGCTCAACCCAAATTCAATTCTTAAAATAGCCCGAAATCATTAATTGAATTCAACATGAGCTCGCCAGAATTAAACTTGCGCAGTGCTCGGGTTGAGTCCATTAACCGAGGTAGGATTAGGGTTAAAAATTATATACTTAGGATTAGGTTAGGATTGACTTTCCAACCTGCCTGAGTTGCACCCCAACAAAAAAGATTCTAGTTTCTTGATGGAAAACTAGTTAATAAAATAAACGTATGAATGATTACTTGTGCCTGCTCCAATGGGGGAGGCGATAATATCTTAATTAAAAGTTCTACTTATGTGAATAAAGAGAAAGATGTATTTAAATTCAATCACATCGATCAAGAATCTCATTATCTGTTAGGTGGGTGAACCGACGTGTCCGATTGATGTGATTTCATTGAAATTATGGATAAAAAGTAAATTTTAATGTTTGATGGAGTCCGTAGTCAATCTAAAAATCATTATAAATTAAGTTAATAAATAAGTTTAAATTTTTAAATCAAAATAACATTACTCTAAAATTAATCATTAACAGATTTACATTCTGTCTTGAATCTTGATCTCAGTTGGTTTGAGTAAAGAGACTAACCCTGGAAAGAAAAATAAGTTTGCACATCCTCACATAATACTTTTGAAACACTCTATAACCACACACTACCAATCTAGGTCGAACAAGTCCTTTCATTACCATTTCATATCATTTAATTACTTTCTTATAAGTCAAACCATCAGTTAAAAAATTTCCCACTGACCACAACGAACACCCGTGCTTTAGAATCTAATATACATAGCTTAAGTTTTGAGCATCCATCACTTTTTTTAGACGTCACCTTTTATAAGTATTAAAAACCCATGCCAAGCTCCCATGAAACTCAACCAAACCTTTCTTTGTTTTCCACACATAGCCAAAAACAGAAACCCTAACCATGAAGGTGAGAGAAGAGAGCTCAAGAATCATTAAACCCTCTTATGATGAAGACTCTCCTCCCCCAACGACAAACTACATTCCCCTTGGTGTCTTCGACAAAGTCACTTACAATACCCATATAGCTGTAATCTATGCCTATCGTCCTCCAACCCCGCCATATACAACCCTAGAGCTGGGGCTTCAAAAGGCCTTATCAGTTTACAGAGAGTGGGCTGGAAGGTTGGGTCAAGATGACAATGGTGACCCTGTCATTCTCCTGAATGATGAAGGTGTGAGGTTTGTGGAGGCATCGGTTGATAGCACTCTTAATCAAGCCATGCCATTGAAGCCTTCAGAGTCTTTACTAAGTCTTCACCCTAGATTAAAGGGAGTGTTGGAGTTGGTGCAAGTTCAGCTCACAAGGTTTACTTGTGGAGCATTGGTGGTGGGCTTCACGGCACACCACCTTGTGGCTGATGGCCATTCCACAAGCAATTTCTTGGTTGCATGGGGACAAGCTTGCCAAGGACTCGAAATTACTCCACTCCCATTGCATGATCGAGCCATCTTCTCCCCTCGAAACCCGCCTCATTTCGAATTTGATCATACTGGAGTGGAGTTTATGAACAAGAAAGTGGATAAGCTTTATCCTCTTGTCACTAATTTTATGGATCAAGAACGAGAAATTGTGGTGCACAAAGTTCATTTCACCTTACAGTTTCTCGCCAATATAAAAGCAAAAGCTTCTTCAATGAATGGTTCTAACAAGCCCTATAGCACTTTTGAGAGCCTTCTTGCTCATCTTTGGAGAGTCATCACAAAGGCACGTGCCCTAAGCGGGCTCGAAACCACTCAAGTGAGAATTTCAGTCAATGGTCGTTCTAGGTTGAATCTACCCAACGAGTACTTTGGGAACCTTGTGCTCTGGGCATTCCCACGCGCCAAGGTGAAGGACCTATTGCGCGAGCCATTGCCCTATGCGGCCAAGCTCATTCACGATGCAGTGGTGAAGGTGGATAAAAATTACTTCAAGTCATTTATCGACTTTGTAAGCAACAAGGTGGAAGATGAAGACCTCATTGCCACAGCTGACATGAATAAGTCGGTTTTGTGCCCTAATTTGGAGGTGGATAGCTGGCTAAACTTTCCATTCTGTGACCTAGATTTTGGAGGAGGATGTCCATACATTTTCATGCCATCTTATTTTCCTATAGAGGGCATGGTGTTTATTCTTCCATCCTTCATAGGGGATGGAAGCATTGATGCTTTCATACCTCTATTCGAGGATAACCTGCCCAATTTCAAGCAAAATTGCTATTCTATAGAATAGTAATGCTATTTGAACCTAATTTTTCTGACCTCATTATTAGTGATCATTGGACGGGCAGTGGTCCTCTGATACTCGTTGGGATCCAATACCAATTCAATGATAAGAACATATTAAGTCAGGAAATTAGATACATATTGTATTATGTTTTCTATAACACAGTATGCACTACAAGAATAAGGGTCTTTTGTGACAAATTTTTTACGGCGGCTGTATTTGTTGTCACAAAAGACGTGTTTGAGACAATTTTTTGTGACGACTGTGTTTGCCGTTACAAAAAGTGTGTTTGTATTAATATTTTGTTAATATTTGTGGTAGCTATTTTTCCTGCAATAAATAGTGTCATAAACTCAAAAGAAATTTTTGTATCTGAGACAACTGTTTTTCGTAACGCAAATAATATTTCATAAACTCAATTTTTTTAATATTTATGACATTTATTTTTCCCGTTGTATATAATATTTCATAAAACATTAAAACGTTATTTTAGATTAAAAAATAGTTTATAGTTTAAAGAAGAAAAACTCTAAAAAAAAATGTATTATCCACAACTATTTTTCATGTTACAAGTAATATTTTATAAAATTACGAAGTTTTACATCAAAAGACAATTTATAGTTTAAAGAAAAAAAAATTCAATTCTACGAAGTCAATTTTTTATGTCAAAACTAGGAGTGTCAAAATATGACACGACCGGTTAACATGACATAAAATTAGTGGGTTTGAGTCTTTGTTAAACCACATATTTAGTAAATGAATGGATCCGATAAGATACAATTATAAACGAATCAAGTATTGGTGAAACCAATTAGAAGTAATGTATATGATATAACTCGTTTATATACCATTTACATAATTAGACAAACCTTTAAATATTTCGTGACATTCTATGGATGTATATTCTAACTTCTTTTAGTTTTTTATTGTATATATGTATATAAATATCATTTCAGTATAGTAACAATAATTTAATGTTTTTTTTTCATATGTCATTGAGAGATTAAATGGTTTGGGAAGGATGTTCAACTTTTTGAATTAATTTCCTGTACTCATGGATCGTTATGTTTTGTAAAAATGCATATTTTACATTTTGTTTAACTCATGAGATTGTTTTTTTTTATATATGAAAATATTACTTTGTTTTTGGAAATGTTGGTCATATTTATTTTTGTATTTATTTATATATTGAATTTGGTAATATGAATACTAATGGATCTTTGGTTCAATGATACTCCTTATCTTGTGAAAGTTTTATTTTCTTGAAGTCAATGATTCAAGTTCAAGTTCCATTCCTCTCCCAAAAAAAAAAAAAGTTATACAGATGTATGCTTTCAAATTCATGTGATGGATATGCAAATGGTATAAAACATTGATTACCAACCATAATAATTAAAAAAAATTATTTTTTTTTGTGGCGACATCATTGCCGTCGTAAATCAGATTTTTTGTGACAATTTATTTACGACGGAATCTTAGTGCCGTAAATATTATTTAAAACAGATCGTTGCTGTCATAAAAATCTTTTGAGACCACACTTATTATAGCGAGGCAATACCGCCACAAAAAGTATTTGTGACGGCAAATAAATATTTTATGACAGCACTTTACCGCCGTAAAAGCCCTTTTATTCTTGTAGTGATATATGTTTAAGTCCAAAATTATGTCACATTGAATATGTAGTTTTATTCACCCCCTCTTCCACCTTTCTAATGCAAACCACATTGTATGCCAAGAGACCTCTGCGTAATGCCAAGGGACCTCCTCGTCCACACCTTACCACCTTCCTTTATCCTCAGCGTAATGCTATATGCCCAATTTTTATTTTTATTTTTATTTTTAAACCAATTGTTTTGATATGTGCATGAGTTACAATGAGCAGAAAATTCTATGCTTGCAAAGAAGAAAGGAAACGAATAAAAGCACCCAGATGTTAAACGGATGAAAATGTATCCTGAACCATGTAAGCTAAATGAAATGACAACTTTAAATGTGAATATTCAATGTACCATTGATACTACATTATCATTAATGAATAGTATCAACCAATTTTAAAAGTGGTATGTCAATCATGATCTAAAATTATTATTATATTGAATATTTTTTTGTGTCAAAGGTGGTGACAGTGATGGTAAGTACAGTTCTAGTGCAAGACCGACCTAATTATAAAGCTAATGATACAATTATTTCAGGCGAAGTCCACAAAAAGCTTCAATTTCATAGGTCTATATTATAATTCAGACCAAAAATTTAAGCCAGAACAATCATGTCCAACAAAATGGCCCTACAAATATTTAAATTAATATAAAAATAGAGTTTAGGACCACTAAATATTTATAGATTTTTCATGGTTTCCTATTTTGGCATCCCTAATAATAAAAGAGATGATTCAACAATGTAGTTGTAACAAGTATTGGACTTTTTCATTAAAATCATTTATATCGCTTGACACATCCTTTTTTTTTGGGGGGAGAGGGGAAGGAGAAACGAGAGGGGGACTTGAACCTTTGACCTCAAGAAGTTAAAGACTTTATAAGATAAAAAGTACCATTAAACCAAAGACCCATTAGTGCTTGACACATCCTTGAATCACAGTATTAAAACAATTATTTTGTATTACTCATTCCATAAAATAATTATGTTCAATGCTGCAGTGGTAGTCGATCCCATCCATGTGAGGTTGCCAATTCTGCTATTTTATAATTGAGTTGTAACGTAGGATCGCAGACAATAATTTTCTTCCCTAGACAAACGTGGCTATTTTTAACTCAATCCTCAGTTTAAAAACCCATGTCAAGCACTCATGAAGCTCAAGCAAACTTCCCTCTTTCTTCCCCCAACCACAATCCAAACCCTCTTACCAAGGCTCTCTTCCCCCAACCACAATCCACATTCCCCTAAGCGTCTTCGATAAGGTCGCTTTCGATACCCATGTAGCACTGATCTATGCCTATCGTCCCCCAACCCCATCAAATGTAACCCTAGAGCTAGGGCTTCAAAAGGCCTTATCAGTATACAGAGAGTGGGCTGGAAGGTTTGGTGAAGATGACAATGGCCGTCCTGTCATTCTTCTCAATGATGAAGGCATGAGGCTTGTTGAGGCATCGGTTGATAGCACTCTTGATCAAGCCATGCCACTAAAACCTTCAGAATCCTTACTAAGCCTTCACCCAAGCTTAAAGGGAGTGGTGGAGTTGGTCCAAGTTCAGCTCACAAGGTTCTCTGGTGGCTCATTGGTGCTGGGCTTCACGAAACACCACCGTGTGGCTGATGGGCAGTCCACAAGCAGTTTCTTGGTTGCTTGGGGACAAGCTTGCCAAGGAATCGATATTAGTCCCTTCCCTTTGCAGGATCGGACCACCTTCTCCCGTCGAAACCCGCCTCGTTTCGAGTTTGATCACAGAGGAGTGGAGTTTATGAACAAGAAACTTGATAATGTTTATTCTCTTGATGATAATTTCATGGATCGACATCAAGATATTGTGGTGCACAAAGTTCATTTTACCTTACAATTTCTCGCCAAGCTCAAGGCCAGAGCTTCTTCAAGCCCTATAGCACTTTTGAGAGTCTTGTTGCTCATCTGTGGAGAGCCATCACAAAGGTACGTGCCCTAAGTGGGTTCGAAACCACCCACGTAAAAATTGCAGTCAATGGCCGCACACGGTTGAACCCTAGAGTACCCAATGAGTACTTTGGAAACCTTGTCCTCTGGGCATTCCCATGCGCCAAGGTGATGAACCTTTTGGAGAAGCCATTGCCCTATGCAGCGAAGCTCATCCACGACGCAGTGGCGAAGGTGAACAACAACTACTTCAAATCATTCATCGACTTTACAAGCTACAAGGTGGAAGAAGAAGATCTCATTACCACGGCTGATGCCGATGCTACTGTTCTGTGCCCTAATTTGGAGGTGGATAGTTGGATAAGGTTTCCATTTTATGACCTAGATTTTGGAGGAGGATGCCCTTACATTTTCATTCCATCTTATACCCCAATCGAGGGCTGCTTGTTTCTTCTGTCATCTTTAATTTGGGATGAAAGTATAGATGCTTTCATACATCTATTCCGGGACAACTGGACCACTTTCGAGCAAATTTGCTACTGTATAGAGTAGTTGTAAGAATTCAAGAATATTTTTTACCTTTCGAAAAAATAAAGGATTCAGCTATATACACAGCTGTGTCTATACTTATGTATGTCAGCTTGGAGGCTCTTAGCTTTTTTCCCCCATCAATTTTCAGTGTAACCGTGTCTGTGCTATTGTTATGCACAAACGTTATTATACGTGTTTGTTGCTATTAATAAACTGTCTTTTTTTCGGAAGTAAAAAATTTCATTGATCAATTATGTATGTCATCTTTGTTTCGTTTGTTTATTCGGTTGTTTCTCTCCCTCCACATGCTATAAACTACTGTAGCAAGGCATAGCTTGAGAATACCTATCCTAAGGATTTTCCTTTCCAGTTAGAGATCACCCATTCAACCAGGTCATTCCATGGAGCTAAGGTCCCTGATGGTCACACAGTAGCATCAATCGGTGCCATATAGCTTCTGAGAAAGGGCATGCAAGGAAGAGTTGGGCGTGAGATTCAATAGACTGCCTACATAGTGTGCACACCTATCCTTGGTACTGAGCTTATTTCTGATAGGAAGCCACAAAACAACACTCATCCTAGCTATACTCTGTTGGTGCCACAATGGCCTGTGCACTGGACAAGAAAGAGGAGAGAGGGGAGGGGGGGATGCTCCGTAATTTTCTCCCAAGTTCATCTAGTTGAAAACTTTCTCTCCCCTCTAGCCAATTCCACATGTTGTTTGCATTGATCTGGCATACATGTGCAGGACAGATGACAAAAATTTTGATATTTTAATTGAACATGGTCAATGTTATTCAATTAGGTAATTCTAGAAATTTTTTTAATTCAAATAGGATTATTCGATTTCTTATTGTAATTAAGATTCTACTTTCCTAATTGGTTTAGAGTTTTTGCTATTATATAAATTCATAGGGCAAAATAATTTTTGGATTGACTAATAAAATAGAGAGAGTTGTCTCTTTTAATTTCATTATTCTGATATTTTTTAGAAATTAAAAGATTTATTTAAGTCTTTAAAATTGATATTCTTATGAATCAATATGCTTAAATATGATTATGCTAGTACAAGTAACACAATTCAATCCAATAAATGACAATGCATAGGTTGCACAACCCTACAGAAATCACCAATAATGCATTTGAAGCCCGCTAGGGCCGGCCTCTGTTTGGCTTGTTAAGGTCAATTGAGCATATCCGACCCGGCACAGTAGTAGCCGGTCCGTTATTGACCCCCTATATGCAAGATAAAAAAAGTAGTGAAAATTTAGTCCGTGTCTTTTTGAATGGATTTAAAATGACTTAAGTTCGTCAAAAAAATTTAGTTGGTGATAAGTTTATTTTTTATTTTATTAATAAGTATTTAAATTCATTATTTTTTTAAATTTCAAAAATAATTTTCCTTAAAAGGAGGTTAAATTAATTTTTTATTTTGAAAATTATTATCTCTTAATTCAACATCAATTAAAATATGCTAATAAAATTTCCATCATAAATTTAAAATTCAAATTCAAAGTGATCTCTCTCTCTCTCTCTATCTCCCCCTCTTCGGCCTTCTCAGACCAGCTAGAGGCGACGTCGTTGTGGTTGCAAGTGATGTTGAATCCATCGAGGAACTGGTTTGTAGATTAGCACAAGTAGACTCTTTTCACTTGCCTCCGCATATATAGTTAAGATTTCAAAAAAAATCATTTGTCCATTCTTTCTCTATTTCTCAAAGTTCAAATTGTGATTTCATATTATCTATCTATGTGTGTATTTCGATTTGATGAATTCAGCGGCTTAGCACAATAAGACCCTTTGAAAAACTAGTAGATTGTGGGATCATTAATCCCCCTTTGTAAAACTAGTGGATTATGTAGACAACTTTGAACTTTGTTAAAAGTTTTGAGAAAATTATATTCCGAAATCTTTATCAAATATTCATTTCCTTTGCACCAAATGCTGGCCTCAATTTTGTTCAATTTTTTATAATTTTTTTGTTGAGCATGTTACTGTTTTCTCGTCTATTCACAATCATACCGATTATATGTTATATGTTTTTTTCAAATATTATTATTTTTTGGACTTGAATGTTTCATATTACTATTTTTTTTATTATATTACTGTTTATGTTATTATTATTTTGACCATGTTACTATTTTTATTGAACATGTTACTATTATTATTTTCCTATATATATATAGATAAATTTCTAAAAAAAATATTAGGATGAATTGTACTTTATATCTTGAAAGATTTAAGTATTTTTAATTTAATACTTAAAAATTAAATTTTTCGCATTGCACTTTCAATATATTAAAATGTTGCAATGTGACTTTTCTGTTAACTTTCGTTACTCATTCAATCAATGCCAATAGGGTTATTTTTTATAGACAAAAGGACCACATTGCAATATTTTTAATGTATTAAAGATGCAATGTGAAAAATTTAATCTTTGAAAGAACAAAATAAAAAATATTAAATCATTCGAGATGCAAAGCGAAATTTTCCCAAAATTCTATTATGGTTTTATGATTTATTCATCCCAATGGAATCAAATAAATTCATTAAAATTGAATAAAAATTGGTTAAAAATAAGAGAAATACTATTTGGACTTAATTTGTTGACTTAATCAGTCTCTACCATTGAATTGAAAGTGAATCTTACTATTGGTTGAGACCTACTACTAAATCAATAGTTATGATATATTAGGTTAGCAAATATGATCAATAAATTAAATTTAAATAACATTTATTTAAAATAATAATTGAGAGGATCCAAATACTACAAATAAAATGAGTATTCTTCTAGAATTAAAAAAATAAAATTGAGAGAATGGAAATTGGCTTTCTGCATAACAAATAAGACTCAAGCGATACCGTACCAAAAATTATGACTTTTTAATGTTAAGTTATAATTTTTTTTAAGGTGGAAGTTACAACTTTAAATAGCATGATCAATTACAAAAGGTTGAAATAGATATCGAGAGTTCTTGATCAATCATAACCTTCCATTGAGCAATTGAAACTTTTCATTTGAAAGTTATAATTTTATCATAAAAAAATGGTAATCGATAATTAGGGGTGTCTATAGGTCAAGTTCAACCAGTGAAATTTTTTTCAAGCTAGGCCTGGGTAGGGTAAACCCAAGTTCTTACTCAGGTGAGTCATCAGGCGGGCTGAGCTAGACTTCAGGTAGAGTTAGGTTACTCGCAATCCAACCCGTCACTTACTGGACAAGCCTATGGGCCTACATATAGGCTTGCGGGCGAGCGAATGAATTCTTGACTTGAGTTTTAACTGGCTTTTTGCGGACTGGTTACTGGGTTGAGTTTTGGGTCCAATAATGGATTTGGTATAGATCCAAACCCTCCATTGAAAAATATTGAGCTCAGGTGAGTCATCAGGCGGGCTGAGCTAGACTTCAGGTAGAGTTAGGCTACTCGCAATCCAACCCGTCACTTACTGGACGAGCCTATGGGCCTACGTATAGGCTTACGGGCGAGCGAATGAATTCTTGACTTGAGTTTTGACTGGCTTTTTGCGGACTGGTTATTGGGTTGAGTTTTGGGTCCAATAATGAATTTGGGATACATCCAAACCCTCCATTGAAAAATATTGAGCTGTTCATATAAATGAATTATCAAATCTATTAAATTTTATACCTATTATTTTCGGACTGAATAGCAAAACCCGTGGGTAATTCGGCCATCAACTACCCTATCGACAGTTCCCATTTTTTTTAGTACTGTTAAGACTTTACCATTTGAGAGAGAAAGAATAGGTTAAAAAAGTTGAGAGAGAGAGAGAGACACAGAAAGAGATGGACTATAGTCTAGCGGCACTGAAGCTGCTATGCGTACAGCTAAAGAGCGCCCGCGAAACACAATCTCAGTCCGCCATGACTCTCGCCGGCATCCTCTTCCAACGCGCCTGGTTACAGGTCTTCTCAGTCTCTCCCTCTCTCAGTGTAATTTTAATCCCTAAACTACTGACCCCAAATGCAGGGCATTGTGGTCTCGGCACCGTCCTCCAACGGCGACGGCCGTTTTCTCCTCGACGACGGCACCGGCATTATCGAACTCTCTCTCTCCCGAGAATTTGGTAATCGGGAATGGAAGACTGGTCAGTGTTACTTGTCCCTCCCAAATACCCATATTTTGGCGTAGCTTTCTCTCTCTAGAAAATCACTCTTTCTTTGTACCTGTCAAAATACATGTAGGAATGTATGTGATGGTTGTTGGAGGGTACTTTGTCCGTTCAGATGACCTACCCTTGATTAAGGTGAGACCCAAGTCCCATTTCTATGCCTAATGCGCGCGCGCGCGCACACACATGGTGTGTTGGTTTTATTTTGCTACAATTTCATGGTTAAATTGGGTAAACTTACTGCTTAGAAATTATGGTTTCTGGGTTCTATTGTAATTGAATTTGGATTCTAAAATTTATAAAGGGCATCTTGTTAATTGGTAAGCAATATAGCTGGATTTCTTGTGGAGGTTTTATCAAACCGTGAAAAATCCTCGGGTGAATTGTGTTTTTAATATGATTGAGTTGACCCACACACCTTGCTGCATATGGAAGGATTGATTTAGTTGTTGTGAAAATTGAATGGTTAAATTTTCAGTTAACCTTTCTCATGAAAAGGATAGAAATATAGCTATGTAGAAATTATTTTCAGATTTAAGTTCTGTTTTTTAGTATTAAAAACATGGTTGGAAATGTCTTTTGATCAACAATTGTTGATAGATGAACTATTTGTTTATATGATTGCATGTATTGCTTTTGAATAATATGGTGTTTCATTTTAAAAGTAATAGAGGAAAAAGGGGTCTAATGAGCCTCATTAATTTGTTAGTCCTTACAAATTTTGGAACTGTCTAGTTTGGAAATTACGAGGGATCAGTAAAATGAACCTATCGATATGAAGATGTTTTTTTTTAGCACTTCTGGCATTCACATAAAGTGCTTGAGGTAATTGAGTGCCCAAATGTTTGACAATCGCTTTACATTGTTCTGAGCCTTTCTTTAATTTTCCCTTGCTTACCAATATAGAACCGAATTCCACGACATAATGAACGACGAATGTGGGCCTCATCTACTGTTGCCATCAAGAAATGTCTAGACAAATGCTCCGACTGACATACTCTGTTTTGATACATTGGATTTAATAGAAAATTTGCTTGTAGGACCTTGTCACAAAAATTTGCTCAGACTCAATGTCATTACAATATGATTATCGAAATTCTTAGGTCTGTACATCTATCTGACAATACAGTTCCCTGTCTTTATTACATTGACAATGTTTTCCATGTAGAGCTTGAATGCATTGGCATCCTGTCTTTGTTTTATTGACAATGTTTTCCTTGTAGCGTTTGAATGGCATTGGCATTCTAACTAAAAACTTCTAGTGACAATAACTACGTTAGAGCGAAGCTTCATATCACAACATGTGGATATTGGAAATAGTGCCTTTGACCATGGTGATAAGAACATTTGTTTTTTGTGAACCAAACAATTTCATAAACAGTGGACATTCATGGCTATGTTCTTAAGGTGGCAATAATAGGATCACGCAAGATACATAAATATCCTGGTGGTACTTTTTCTACGATCTTGACCCTTCTTTTATTATGCTGTTATTGATCTTCTCAACTGAGAAGGTAGAGCATAGGATATATAGAATTCATAAGAGGATGTCATCAGCTTGATGAGCAGAAGGAAAGGGTCTTTCTTGTTGTCAGGGAGGGCTGCAATATTTTTTGAGAGCTTATGAATATCATTTACAATGCCAAAGTTTTCAGAAAGGTAACCGTAACTTTGCATGCTTCCCTAAGTGAATTCTATTTTGTGTTTGCAACAGTTTGCATTATATTATTGAACTAGGTGCTTTATGACAGAATGAAATGTGTGAAAACCTTATTTCAACTGTATTTTTAATTTGGTATTCCCCTGCCTTTTAAGAAAAAATGTAAATTTCTGATTTTAACGTCCCCTGAAACTCATCCTCTCCTTCAATGCAATGCACACTCGCCCAAGCATTGCATGTATTGTGATTTTGTGAATGCAATATTATGATGTTCCAGAGAGAAATATCATTGTTGTTATCTTCAAATCGAAAATAAAGAACTGTCACATAAATACTGATATAATAGTTGTGATAGGATGTCAAGGCTACTGTTTTGGCTTTGAGTTTCAGGTTCACAAAATTGTTGATCTTTCTCCATTTCCTGATCGAGAAGCAATGTGGTATCTGGAGGTCATGGAGGCATTTAAACTTTTCTACCAACCCCTAGTTGAAGAGTGAGAGAGAGAGAGAGAGAGAGAGAGAGAGAGAGAGAGGTGAGGGGTGTTCTCGTGTACAAATAGCCATTTAGCCAAATGCAGAATCCTTAAGTTTCAATGATTCCAGTGTTAAAGGGACCCCTTTTTACCTGAGCTGATGTTTTTTTTCTATTCCGCTTTGTATTTGATTAACCTCGTAGTATAACTTTAATTCAACCAAGGGTGGCCATGTCTTGTTTTGCCAATTTGGTTCCAGGGGAAACTGTAGTACCTCAAATCATAGTTATTAAACTTGGTCTGAATATCAACTCGACAAAGTGATCAAGTCAATGGGTTATCGGCTCAATAATGAGGCAAATGAAATAGGAAAACAAAAAAAGGACAGAAAGGGAAGGAAGAAAAGGTACCAATCAAAAGCTCCACCAATGAGTCCCTAAGATTTTTGTTTTTGATAATCAAGTTGTGCACTGAGTGAATTCTCAGCAAAACTGACCTGTGTTACCCTGGATGGGGATCCTAAAATGCTCACCAGCTGTACGTAGCTTTGATGTAGAATAGGTGGAAGCAGAATATTTGAAACAGGACCGAAGTAACAAAACAGATATTCCATCAACGTCGGGTGAGTTCTCTCGCTGGTTAACTCCTCCAATGGGTACTGTCAAAATTAACTTTGATGGGGCTACATTTAGCTCGATTAAAGCTGTGGGGATAGGAGTGGTGATCAGAGACTGGAGGGGAAGATTCCTCGCTGGTCTGAGCAGATTAGTTAGAAGGCCTTTGAGTGTTGAAAGTGTGGAGACTTTGGCTGCCTGCTATGCGTTGGATCTGGGTTTACAGTTGGGATCAAGTATTATCCTAGAAGGTGATGCTAAAGCTGTAGTGTAGGCTGAAAGAACCTAATCTTTCAGAAGTTGGTCATCTCATAGAACTGATACAATCTTCAGCGGTACACTTAAATGGAATTCTCTTCCTCTTGGGTAAGGAGATCTGCTAATGGAGTGGCTGATGCTTTGGCTCATTATGCTTGTCAATGTACTGATTTTGTCCCATGGAGAGAGGTATGCCATATTTCATTGGCCCTCTCATCCTTAGTGAGTCCCCAGTTTAAATTTAATAAAATTGTTACCGACTTTTATCAAACAAAAAAAAAAAAAAAGTACAACGAAATGATAAAAAGTGATAATAAAGGTATAATGGGTCAGACTTAGAATTTAGTGAGACTAGTGGTATTTGATTCGGATTGGGCTAATATTTAAGACTTGTCGCTTTGTCATGAGTTCTTTTAGTTTTGGATCGAATTTTATCGTTTAAACTTTTAAAATCTTGTTTTTATTGTTTTAGAAAAAATTAATAATAAATCATACGAGATTTCAAATTCAGCGTCGTCGGTTCTTTTATGTTAATTAGGAAAATAACATTTTTATTTTTGATATTTTTTGCAATTTTAGGAATTTTACTTTGATTTTGGGAACGATAAATATTTTAGTTGTTCATATTTATATTTTTTTTTGTACTACGAGTTAATCATTGAATAATATTATATTTTAGAATTTTTTTCTCTATTTCCTCTGTTAATTCAAAGCGTTCCTTTTAGTTCAATACATAAAAAATTGTAGCATTCTTTGTGTCGTTACATTAATTGGTATCAGAGTCTTGTCTAATGTAATGTGATCTAAGTCACATAATTCGCATTACAACACTTGCAAAATGTTCTATGTTCTGTTATGTTAATTGTTATCAGAGTCTTGTCTTACCTGATACGATCTAAGTCACATAATCCGTGTCATCGGACTCGCGAACTCAAAATAAATTCACGCTCTTATTTAAATAAATTTGTGAACTCACATAAGTAAATTCGCCAATTTCAATTAACTACTAAAAATCCCTATTTGAAGTAAAACTTTGAACTTCAGGCCACTCTCCCAAGCCCAGACTTCCAACTCAGCTCGCGGCTATTAATAAATGTGCCTCCCAGTTGTACTCAACTTTTCCAGCTAAAGCACCAAGCCAATTTCACTGACCAATTATGAGTCAATGACCTTTTATAGGCATGTTGATCTACCCATTTCCCATTTCATACTGGTGTGAGATTGTTTCCTCACTTGAACAATGCCTTGAAGCTTTTTCTTTGATCATTCACTATAATTTTTTTAATGTAGGATTCAAAAGTCAGATAAATAGTTAATAAAATTGAAATAACTTATTATATATTTGTATATAAAAATTAACTCTTTAAAATATATTTTAATAGTTTTATATATATAAACATGTATGTATGTATATAGTGTGACGTTCTTAAGTCGCTCATGCTCTAAATTTTTTTGCACTCCCATTCTTGCTCCTGCTCTCGCCCTTGTTCCTACTTTATGTGATCTAGGGTGTGATGGCTAATCTTTCTAATGATGGTGCTCATGTAGAAGGAATTCTTTCTAGTGCCAAATTCTTGGAGTCCAAGCAATAACAACAGAAGTAGTTTCAATAGCTCCATAATCTATGTAAGCACTGCAGGAGTTGGTTGCTCAGTTGATGATGAGCCTAAATTAGGGTCTTGATAAAAAAAAGGTACAAAATAGCGATACGGTTCATGTTCAACCCAATTGAGATCATAATCTTACCTATCATGCACGACATAATATTCATGGTGGACCTACGAGAGGATACCGATTGCAAATTCCAGCGATGAGGAAGATTAATTCTTGTTCAAGATGTTGTAGATTATAAGGATCCTAGTCGCGATGCTAAGGATTTTCATATGAAGGTTAATTTTCTCAACTTTAATGGTCACCTTCATAGTGAAGATTTCCTTGATTGGTTGGCTGAGGTGAAGAGGTTCTTCAACTACATGGACGTCTTGGAGGAGAAGAAGATTACAAGTTGAAGGGTGGAGCTTTTGCTTGATGGGAACAAGTTCAGCTCACACTTACCCGGGAAGGCAGACTCCCAACTCACGTCGGGTCAAAGATGAAGAGATTGTTGCGAACAAGGTCTTTACCTCCTATTTTTGAGTAGGTATTATTCCTGTAGACTTGTAGTATCAGGATTGTAAGTAGGGTAGTTGATCTGTTCAAGCATATACGGAGGAGTTTCGAAGGCTTTCTTCTCGTAAAAATCTAATTGAGACCAATCTCAAAAAATTGCTCAGTTTATTGGTGGTTTTCGCTTTGCCATTCAGGATATAGTTTCCCTACAGAATCTATACTATTTGATAGAAACAATTCACCTAGCCACGAGTGTTGAGTCCCAATTAGAGCGAGCGAGATCGGGAGGAAGACTACCCTATGAAGGATTAGATTGTAGAAGAGGAAAATGAGAGTGCGTGGACTTATGGTGATGAGAGAATCTCTTTCGTTGTTCATCGGCTGATGTACACTCTCAATCTTGAACAAAACATTTAGCAACACAACATTTTTCGGACAACATGCATTATGAATCAGCATGTCTGTTAGTTGATTATTGATGACGACAGTAGTGAGAATATAGTGTCCAAGGAAATTGTTGATAACCTGCAGTTACAGACTGAGAATCTCCTTTCTCCTTATACTATGGGATGGATCAAGAGCGTGGGCAAAACTAAGGTAACAAAATAATGTTGCATCCGTATTTTGATTGGAAAGTATAAAGATGATATTGTATATGATGTTGTGGATATAGATGCGTTCCATATTTTGTTGGGTAGGCCATGATAGTTTGATGTAGATGTTGCCCATAAACGGGAAGACAATCCTTACACATTTTTCAAAGATGGTGTCAAGGTTATTCTTGCCCCCACAGTGAGAGAGGGTTGTCCTGTAGCATTTCTGGCTAATGGCGGGTCCTTTCTTGTGGTTCCTGCCATTTAAGAGGATGTGAAAGAGAGTGGGGAGGTGTATGCCCTAGTAATGAAGGGTAAGGAGGCAGGAGCAGTTGTGCCTCCACTAGTTGTTGATGTCATTATTGACCGAGTTTAAGCGGATCATGTGATTAACCATCAAAAGTGTTATTTTATTATATTTAATGATTGGTTAATTACATATTATTTGTGATTAAATGTGTTAGATTCTTTAATTTTTTAGTTTGACATTTTTTTCTAGTTGTTTGGTTTATTTTGCAAGTAAATTAGTTGATTTAAAGTAATAATGGATAAAACAAGTGAAACAATCACTAGAGGAAAAATCACAATTGATAAGGATTGAAAAGTCAAGATTAAGATAAGAAGATTTGAAGATAAGACGACAATTTAATCCCTACAAAAGTCCAAATTAGAAAAAACTCATTTCAAGTTGGATTAGAAAAGTATCATAGAAGATAATGATTTAACATGCTTTTAGTATTTTAGTTATAAACTATGACTCTAATATCCGATTGACCTGATTTTTGCGGCGTTGCAAAGAAGATTTTAAGAGCTACAAAAGTGTATTTCATGAAAATTTTGTAAATTGGCCTCTAAATATGAGAAATTCAAGGTCGAAATTTGGACTAAATTGTTAACCATGCCCCCCAAGATTTATGCATGAGATTTAACCTTAAAAAACTTTTTTTTGAAAAAGAATTCTTCCTAACCCAACCTTATATATTCTACCTAAACCTATGATTTATTTTAGTATAAACAAAGACTCTCACATGTTGAAAGATTATTATTATTCTCTTCCTATCTTTTTCTTTTCTACTTTTTATTTTAATTATATGGTTTGCTAAAAGCCCAACTAAGGCTAGGGGATGAAGCACAATATTTATTATTGATTCAATTTCTTTTTAATGCATGATTTATTCTTTTAATTTAATTCTGTCTTAGTAAACTTTTTGCTCTATATAATTTTTTGATTTGTTGTGTCACGTACATCAAATA